TATATTTTATGCTTTTTGAAATTAGGTTATAAAAAGTGCTCAAAAACACCAAAAGAATTGGAATTCAGAGGCCAGAGGGAAGCTGAAAAATGAACTGATTGAACAAATGGACAAGAAGTTACACAAACTAAAAAATCAGTTGCAGGAGTCCATTCTGAAAGATGAAAGGTCGGTGCATGTAGTTTGGTTGAAAACTTTGAACAATTAAAAAACAATCAACTGAGCATTACTTTAAGTAATCATTGTTATGTGTTCTATGCCTGATAGAAGATTTATAAAAACATCAAATGTTGTTTTATTTATATCCAAAGTTTAAATTGATATGTATAAATTATAATGTGTTTCTAAAGGCAAATTTTTGAAGGAGTTAAATTTGAAGTAAATTAAAACATAGTGCCTTACTTTATAAACTTAGGTTTGTCAAAAAGTTTTCAGTTTTGTTTGAAATAAGTTATTTGACCTTTTTTATCCAGCAATACTACAAAGAAGAAGAGCCAGTTTGCAGACATGGCTGCAGCAGATGTGGTGCTGGAAGTTTTCAACCGATGTCAAACTATATTCAGTGCCAACTTTGTGGATCCAGATTATGTTGTGTCGCCATTCTTGAGAATACTGTCAACAGATGAATTTGCAAGGTATTCTGCAGTGATATATTGTAAGAATTTGATGTTTAGACCATTTTAGACAAATAATTGAAAATTTCTTCAGACTTGCATGCTGTCGGATTTCAGCTACATGTACATGTACACTATGATGCCTTTGCAATGGTTTACTGAAACGGAAGGTTCAATGTGATTTTAAAGTATTTTAATCAGTCAATTTTCCTGCTACCATTGACAATATTATAGCACTGAAAATCCTCTCACTTTCAACCTCCAGTCTAAAAAAAATGATATGTAATTTTAAAGGATTATTTCAAGATTATCTTAGTAATAAATGCATTTCTATTTTTAGTTTTTGTCTGTGAAATTCTGAACCATTAGAAAAAGACGCTTTGAAGTTTAAAACTTCATACAATGTATTTTCTGTTTGTTTTTAAGAAAATTGTTCCAGTTATGTCTATGTACTGCTGGTGATCTGGAAATCCCCCATCTAGCAGAGGACATTGACAGCCAAGCAGAAGGTCAGGGGTCAGAAATGGAGGGAGAAATGCATGCTGGGCCAACTAGACCAACAGAAGGTGTTCTTATGTTTAATAGAAACTTTAAAACTTTAGAATCATTGCATACCCCAATTGATATAAATTTTTGTCTTTTTGCTATTTTAAACTTGTTTTAATTTACAGGTTTGGGTTTGAGCACCTACAACATTTAAGTTGTTTTTTTGTCACCTTTGATCTGTGTATCTTTACTAGTGACCTGAAAGAATTTTTAGTTGCAGCTAATATGGAGAATAACCCTGTGTATCACACTTTTAAAATACTTCAGCTGTACTGTTCAAGCAGCTAAGCCAGACACTGTCCTCATATACCAGTGCTATGAATCTAAGGGCCATGGCCCACATGGAAAAGAGACTGGCACAATACTTTGGTTTCCAGGATTTTCACAGCATGGGTCATGGTAGTTTCACAGAATTTCTGGGACATCACAGTAAGGTGGGTAAATAAACTGTTGAGTACTTGTAAATCAAAATGAGTTTCGATAATGGCTACTTACTTATCAGTTGCAGCTTATTAAGCAGTACAGATTTATTATTACTAGCATATTACTGTTGATTCACATTTAAAGCTATATTTAAAAAAATTAGAAAAACCTGAATTTCTCAGGTCCTACATAATAACACCCATTGTACCATTTTCTGAATTTGCAGACATGAAACTCATAAAAATCTGTAAGAAACTATAGGATAGATTTAATTGATTAGTTGTTACAGTAATGTTTGATTTTGTTGTGAAAGAGGATTTACATATTGGCTTATTTGAAAAATATAGCTGATTATATGACAAACGTAGTTACTGTTTTAACACAGAATGAAAAATACTGTGCAGTCAGTAAGTCAATAAACAAAGTTGTACATATCACAGGAGCTAGAAGAACTTGGCATGGCCAGTGTAGGAGGTGGGCCAGGAACTGGGCAGTTTACAGCCACTAAGGATAGCGTCCTGCAGTTCATTAGGCAGTGTGGAAATGATCTGGTAAGCATGGATCCAAACATATGGGGAATGGCAAATTCACTATGTGATTTCAAAATTAATTTCTCAGCCAGAACATTTTTCTCTAAAACAGTGTTTTCTTTTCAAGTTATAAAACTACTGCCCTTGAATAACGGTTGTCATGAACCCATTAATAACAAATTTAAAATGAAGTTTTCACTTGATTAAGTTCTCATTCATTCACTCACTAATTCATTCACTTATCTGTTAGTTCACTCATTCATTTATTCATTCATTCATTCAGTAGTTCATTGATTCATTCTTTAATTCATTCATTCATTCATTCATTCATCACTCATTGTTTTTTTCTTTAATTCATTCATTTATTCATCCATTCCTTCATTCCAGCCCAGTGATACCATTGGTGATATGCTGTGTGACCAGTTTAAAGTGAAGAAGCCCACTGACCTAGGCTGTGGCACTGTCCAGAAGCTGGTTGAAGGTGCTGGAGATGGTGCCATGCCCCACAGTGTGGTGTACTATGAGGCTGCTTCTGTGGCTAGCCAGGGGTAAGAACTTAAGTGAAACAAGTTTTTTTCTTTTTTGCTTTTTAAGGTGTTTTCTCCCTTATATGTTAGAATAAGTAAAGAGCCAGAGGATAGCTTTCATTTCTTGTTCCTCTTTTTTTTTCTTGCATATTATAAGTACATATTTTTTGAAGATATTTTGAATGTAATCAGATATATTCGCTTTAAAAGTATATTGTCTTGGGCTTCTTTGAAATATTTGATTTCCCGTGACCTTGTGGTCTGTTATCATTGATTTATTGAATTTAAACAAAGAAATTTTCGACCGTCTACCAACTGATGCCTGTCAATGTAAACTTGAAAAATTCTGACTGTCTCCCAGAAGATCGAGAAGATGGCATCAATCTCCCCCTGATATCATTCATCTGTATTTCACTTCTACAGAAAAATCTTCACTACTCTGTGTTTTCATACAGGAACAGCGGCTCTCACCACAAGACCATCGAGGAGGCCTTGGAGTGTCTGACCAGTGCCCCTCTGCTGGCTGACCTGTCCACTTGGTCACACTGGGAGGTCATCTTCGAGCCACAATTTGGACCGTTGAAGACTTTCATTGAGAAGCATAGCAAAGACTGCGCTGGGAATATTGGTCAGTTAATATGATGATAAGTTTGTGTTTTTTTCATAAGTTTAAGTGACAAAGATTGTGTTGGAAACATTGGTCATTAAAATGATAACTTTGTGTTAAACTTTGTTTTGCAAGTGCTGTGAAACTCAAGAATTAATAGGTGGAAAGAATACACAGTTTTATAACCTACCTGTACATGTCAGTGATTTTTTAATGTTAGAAATCTGTTAAATAAATGTCTGTTTCAGATGTAACTTCATATATAAATTCACACAATTATTGAAATTGGGTGACCAAAACACAAAGTCAGTCTATAAGTGTTTTGCTAGATGATCATGAATTGCATGATCCATTGGTAGTTTGCCTATTTTCTCTTCAGTTAAAGACATCAGTGACTTGTACTGCGTTGAGATGGCACCAGGCATTCTGTTGCGTATTACCATGACAACCTCAGATAAGCAATTCAAACTGGCCCTTGAACAAGGAAACACAAGAGATGCAGCAGGGCATTTGGTTTCCATTTTCCTTCGAGATGGTGGGTTAAAAAATGCACCTCTAGCTCTTTTGGCCAATCATGTGACAACAGTTCTGCACTCAATGGCAGGAAAGGGCAGCATTGGACAAATTCACCCTGGGTTACAAGAGGCAGAAACAGCAGAAGATGTGCAAGCTCGGCTTACTTTAGATTGCTTGACAAAATTGCCTAAGAGGATCTGTAAAGCTGTAGCCAGACAGGTATGTGACTCACTTGCACCAGTGGGAACGAAGTTTCACTCCTCCCTTAATTCACAAAAACATTATGCCATTTTGCCACTGAATTGATGATTGTCTCAACGATAAACTTGTCTCCCAAATGTCTTGCTTGGAAAAAAAACTCACCTGAAGAAAATCTCACAAGTTTGCATCCATCTGGGACAATTTTTGTCTAAAGTACAGTTAAAGTCAAATATATAAAATTAAACTAATATTTAATCTGATCACCAGATGAAACAAATGAGCTACTGTAGACCATGCAGTTTTCTGGCTGTTTTTGTCTAACCTCAACTCATTTTCTTTTCATTGAACTTGAATCTTTTACACTGTCAGGTATTTTTGGAACCCCTGGGTAATACTGTAGGCAAGGCCAAAGCCTACCAGTTGCTCCTCAAGGTGAGCCAATGTATAGAGGACAAGCTGTGCCTGGAAAGCCTGGGGCTGTCCCTGGGGATCTCTGAATGGACAGAGAGTCTGTGGGCCCAGATGAAAAGCAGTGCTGACCCAATGGACGATTCTTTCACACAGGTTTGAGTACTGTTTGACTTTAGGCCTTAACGCACTGTCAGATTGGGCTTGTGCTTTCTTTTATTTTTCATTTGGTATCATTTGGTAGAAGTGAAGAAAGATATTTTAACCCAGTTGTTTTTTTATCCAGATTTGGTGTTTTGTTTTCACTAGGAATTCTCTGACGAGGAAAGTGAGGAAGAATTACCTAGTGATGTTAAACCCAAACAGGAACAAATGGAAGTGGGTGAGTTAATATCCTGAAGCAGCAAAAATAATTAAAAATAACTTGTCTTAGAGAGTATTTTAATTGATGCTAGATGGAAATACATATTATAAAATAAACAATAAGGTCCAAAATGTACANCTTATAGGAAATCCTATAGGAAATCCTATAGGAAATTTTCGTAAGGGACATTTAAGTTGTTTTTTTGTCACCTTTGATCTGTGTATCTTTACTAGTGACCTGAAAGAATTTTTAGTTGCAGCTAATATGGAGAATAACCCTGTGTATCACACTTTTAAAATACTTTCAGCTGTACTGTTCAAGCAGCTAAGCCAGACACTGTCCTCATATACCAGTGCTATGAATCTAAGGGCCATGGCCCACATGGAAAAGAGACTGGCACAATACTTTGGTTTCCAGGATTTTCACAGCATGGGTCATGGTAGTTTCACAGAATTTCTGGGACATCACAGTAAGGTGGGTAAATAAACTGTTGAGTACTTGTAAATCAAAATGAGTTTCGATAATGACTACTTACTTATCAGTTGCAGCTTATTAAGCAGTACAGATTTTTTATTACTAGCATATTACTGTTGATTCACATTTAAAGCTATATTTAAAAAAATTAGAAAAACCTGAATTTCTCAGGTCCTACATAATAACACCCATTGTACCATTTTCTGAATTTGCAGACATGAAACTCATAAAAATCTGTAAGAAACTATAGGATAGATTTAATTGATTAGTTGTTACAGTAATGTTTGATTTTGTTGTGAAAGAGGATTTACATATTGGCTTATTTGAAAAATATAGCTGATTATATGACAAACATAGTTACTGTTTTAACACAGAATGAAAAATACTGTGCAGTCAGTAAGTCAATAAACAAAGTTGTACATATCACAGGAGCTAGAAGAACTTGGCATGGCCAGTGTAGGGGGTGGGCCAGGAACTGGGCAGTTTACAGCCACTAAGGATAGTGTCCTGCAGTTCATTAGGCAGTGTGGAAATGATCTGGTAAGCATGGATCCAAATATATGGGGAATGGCAAATTCACTGTGTGATTTCAAAATTAATTTCTCAGCCAGAACATTTTTCTCTAAAACAGTGTTTTCTTTTCAAGTTATAAAACTACTGCCCTTGAATAACGGTTGTCATGAACCCATTAATAACAAATTTAAAATGAAGTTTTCACTTGATTAAGTTCTCATTCATTCACTCACTAATTCATTCACTTATCTGTTAGTTCACTCATTCATTTATTCATTCAGTAGTTCATTTAATCTTTAATTCGTTCATTCATTCATCACTCATTGATTCATTCTTTAATTCATTCATTCATTCATTCATTCATCACTCATTGTTTTTTTCTTTAATTCATTCATTTATTCATCCATTCCTTCATTCCTTCATTCCAGCCCAGTGATACCATTGGTGATATGCTGTGTGACCAGTTTAAAGTGAAGAAGCCCACTGACCTAGGCTGTGGCACTGTCCAAAAGCTGGTTGAAGGTGCTGGAGATGGTGCCACGCCCCACAGTGTGGTGTACTATGAGGCTGCTTCTGTGGATAGCCAGGGGTAAGAACTTAAGTGAAACAAGTTTTTTCTTTTTTGCTTTTTAAGGTGTTTTCTCCCTTATATGTTAGAATAAGTAAAGAGCCAGAGGATAGCTTTCATTTCTTGTTCCTCTTTTTTTTTTCTTGCATATTATAAGTACATATTTTTTGAAGATATTTTGAATGTAATCAGATATATTCGCTTTAAAAGTATATTGTCTTGGGCTGCTTTGAAATATTTGATTTCCCGTGACCTTGTGGTCTGTTATCATTGATTCATTGAATTTAAACAAAGAAATCGGTGCAGAGGGTGATAAACTTTGATTTTGTTAACACAATGATAGTGCTACCTGTATTTGATTTTGGACATATTGTACATTCTGCTTTTAATGTTGGGCTACTGTAACTGTTATTATAATAGCAACTTGTTAATATCTGAGCTGTAATACCTGTATAAATTACCTTACAGGTATTAGTTAGTAACTAATTTAGCCATTATTAAATAATTAGATAAAATAAATTTAATTATATCACGTTTCTGTAATTTATATCATATGTATTTCACTCCCACCTTTAAGTCAGCAAAAATCTCAACTCACTACTCTGTGATTTCATACAGGAACAGGGGGTGACAAAATTACATTTTATTTGCACAATGATAGTGATATCTGTAACACTCAGTATTTGACTTTGGACATTTTGGACATTTGGTGTTTCACATTGGACTGTAATTGCTACAGCATCTTCTTAATCCCCCAACTGTCACACCTGTATAAATTACTCAGCAGGTAATAGCAAATTATAAAGTAAGCCACATCTGATAAAATTAATTTAATCGAAGCATATGTTTTCTTTATGCATATCCAGGGGCATTTACAGAGATATTTTCTGAGTCACTGTGTCTTTCCAATTGTCTTTTTTGATCCATCCTTAATTTTCGACCGTCTACCAACTGATACCTGTCAATGTAAACTTGAAAAATTCTGACCGTCTCCCAGAAGATCGAGAAGATGGCATCAATCTGCCCCTGATATCATTCATCTGTATTTCACTTCTACAGAAAAATCTTCACTACTCTGTGTTTTCATACAGGAACAGCGGCTCTCACCACAAGACCATCGAGGAGGCCTTGGAGTGTCTGACCAGTGCCCCTCTGCTGGCTGACCTGTCCACTTGGTCACACTGGGAGGTCATCTTCGAGCCACAATTTGGACCGCTGAAGACTTTCATTGAGAAGCATAGCAAAGACTGCGCTGGGAATATTGGTCAGTTAATATGATGATAAGTTTGTGTTTTTTTCATAAGTTTAAGTGACAAAGATTGTGTTGGAAACATTGGTCATTAAAATGATAACTTTGTGTTAAACTTTGTTTTGCAAGTGCTGTGAAACTCAAGAATTAATAGGTGGAAAGAATATTCAGTTTTATAACCTACATGTCAGTGATTTTTTAATGTTAGAAATCTGTTAAATAAATGTCTGTTTCAGATGTAACTTCATATATAAATTCACACAATTATTGAAATTGGGTGACCAAAACACAAAATCAGTCTATAAGCGTTTTGCTACATGATCATGAATTGCATGATCCATTGGTAGTTTGCCTATTTTCTCTTCAGTTAAAGACATCAGTGACTTGTACTGCGTTGAGATGGCACCAGGCATTCTGTTGCGTATTACCATGACAACCTCAGATAAGCAATTCAAACTGGCCCTTGAACAAGGAAACACAAGAGATGCAGCAGGGCATTTGGTTTCCATTTTCCTTCGAGATGGTGGGTCAAAAAATGCACCTCTAGCTCTTTTGTCCAATCATGTGACAACAGTTCTGCACTCAATGGCAGGAAAGGGCAGCATTGGACAAATTCACCCTGGGTTACAAGAGGCAGAAACAGCAGAAGATGTGCAAGCTCGGCTTACTTTAGATTGCTTGACAAAATTGCCTAAGAGGATCTGTAAAGCTGTAGCCAGACAGGTATGTGACTCACTTGCACCAGTGGGAATGAAGTTCCACTCCTCCCTTTATTCACAAAAACATTATGCCATTTTGCCACTGAATTGATGATTGTCTCAACGATAAACTTGTCTCCCAAATGCCGTGCTTGGAAAAAAAACTCACCTGAAGAAAATCTCACAAGTTTGCATCCATCTGGGACAATTTTTGTCTAAAGTACAGTTAAAGTCAAATATATAAAATTAAACTAATATTTAATCTAAAATTAAACTAATATTTAATTTAATCTGAAACAAATGAGCTACTGTAGACCATGCAGTTTTCTGGCTGTTTTTGTCTAACCTCAACTCATTTTCTTTTCATTGAACTTGAATCTTTTACACTGTCAGGTATTTTTGGAACCCCTGGGTAATACTGTAGGCAAGGCCAAAGCCTACCAGTTGCTCCTCAAGATGAGCCAATGTATAGAGGACAAGCTGTGCCTGGAAAGCCTGGGGCTGTCCCTGGGGATATCTGAATGGACAGAGAGTCTGTGGGACAAGATGAATAGCAGTGCCGACCCAATGGACGATTCTTTCACACAGGTTTGAGTACTGTTTGACTTTAGGCCTTAACGCACTGTCAGATTGGGCTTGTGTTTTCTTTTATTTTTCATTTGGTATCATTTGGTAGAAGTGAAGAAAGATATTTTAACCCAGTTGTTTTTTTTATCCAGATTTGGTGTTTTGTTTTCACTAGGAATTCTCTGACGAGGAAAGTGAGGAAGAATTACCTAGTGATGTAAAACCCAAACAGGAACAAATGGAAGTGGGTGAGTTAATATCCTGAAGCAGCAAAAATAATTAAAAATAACTTGTCTTAGAGAGTATTTTAATTGATGCTAGATGGAAATACATATTATAAAATAAACAATAAGGTCCAAAATGTACATACAGTAGAAAATACCATTTTCCAAATTNAGTAGAAAATACCATTTTCCAAATTCATCCCAGACTGATTACTAGTAGAATGTAGACCCGCTAGGTACGCCTTTTTAAAGAAATTTGATGACTATTATTATCTGATTGTAAAGCTAGAATTTATAACATTGTGTGGTAAGTATGAATGCAAAAATTGATCACATGAAAATTTTAGTTTCAGAAACTGCAGAGAAACTTCTGTCAGAAGCAGCAGTTGACAATCAACAAGAGATTTTGATGGAAAATACTGAACGTGTTGACAGCAACAACACCCATGATGTAAGTGACGCCTCCAGTGTAGAACCAACACAAACCTTGGAGACAAAGGATGAGGCTTGTAGTGAAAAAGAAACTAAGTGCTTCAATGTCATTCAGGACATCCGTCTGGAGAAGTTTGGAATTGGTCTTGAATTGGATGAGAAGGGGCAGAAGCTGGCCCAAGGACTGAATGAATTGGTGGGACGCAGCCTGGACAAGCTGTCTCAAGAGCTGTATAACAAAGACACCCATTTTGTGTTGGAATTGATACAGGTAAGGCAAATTTGTCTTGTACAGGAAAAGATTAATTTTGCAGTTGCAGCTAGCTTGCATGGGTGGCATGGTGTATAACTAATAATATTAATTTTTATGCTTGTCTCTTCTCCAGAATACATATTATGTCATTGTTTCATAAAAAAAATCAGTATAAATGATATAAAACGAGTGTAACAGCACTACAAACGTCAAATATAAATGGCAGCAATTTACCATGTCAACAGTAATTAAAGTCCCCATAATTGAAAAAAACGCATCTGTTGAATAATTTGTAAATATAACAATAATATCAAGAAACGTGGTTTAAAACATAACAGTAGTATCAATACTGAATAGAAACATAATGTATTCTACAACAAATAGGTGATAATGATAATTTAATACAAGAACGATACATAATATAATATAAGAATACAGATAACAGAGACCCACGATTTGATCCAAATCTCCCTTCCAGAATGCGGATGACAATGACTACCCCACTGCCCAGTGGTCAGAGGCAGGGTCCAGTGAGTGTCCAGAGCTGGTCTTTGTGGTGGAGGAGGACTGCATCACCCTGTACAACAATGAGAAGGGGTTTTCTGAGAGGAATATCAGAGCCATTTGTGATGTTGGGCAGTCCACCAAGGGAAAACACAAGCAAGGATATATTGGTAAATGAGAAATAATGGTTGAATGTGTGTGTGTGTGTGTGTGTGTGTGTGTGTGTGTGTGTGTGTGTGTGTGTGTGTGTGTGTGTGAGAGAGAGTGTTGCCGTTTTTGAAATCCCCATCCTGTTTCTTAAAGATTTCAACAGATTTTATTATCATTCATTATTGTTTTTTTTTTTTTTTTTGGAAGTGGGGGTAATCTCTTTATTATTATAACCAAAAACCAAAGAAAAAGAGTGTAAATATCAATCAATATGTTAAATTACATGGTGTTAACAATTTTTATCATCTAATTTATTTTAAGATGTAATTAAGTACAAGAATTTCTTTATAATATACTATAATTTCTTTATACTGTATATTTAATTATTTTTTTTTTTTTTGGGGGGGGGATGGGTTTGGGGAGGGGAATAATAATATTAATTATAACCAAAAACCAAAGTAAAAGAGTGTAAATATCAATCAGCATAAATCATATGGTGTTAACAATTTACATCAACTAATTTTTTAGATATCAAAAAGTGCAAGAATTTTCTTCATATTATATCACAAATTTTTTTTCCATATTCAAGGTCAAAAAGGCATAGGCTTTAAGTCTGTGTTTACTGTTACCAACACCCCAGAAATTATCTCCAACGGATACTGTATCCGCTTTGATGCCAACAGTGGACCCACTGGATATATCCTGCCTCACTGGGTGTCAGAGGAAGACAGAGAGAGACCTCTCGAGTCATTTTATGTGACCTTGGCAGGGGGAAAGAAGTCGAAAAAGAAGTCTAAGGTTTTAGTTGACCTTAGTGATGAAAGGTGATGTTTATGATATTTGATGAGATTGATAATGAACAACAACAAGTCTGTGTTTTTATTATATTCTTGGATCCCACGCCAAAAGGAAGCAAACAAACAAGCAATGCTGGGAGCTATTTTGTATCTGTGGTTGTGTGAATGTATGTTTCTGCAAAAGTGTTTGCCTGTCAATCTGTGATAATGCATTGGTGCATGAAGTTATTATTATTATTATTTTCATTATTTATGTTTTTAATTTTTCTCAAGAGTATTAATATCATTGGCAGTTTTAACCCTCTGGGATATGCTGTGATTTGCTAGTTGATAATGTAAAACTATGTTAAAGAGTTTTAAAAAACTTTCAGGGGAAAGGTGCAATTCAATTTAAAAGCACTTACACTGCTTGGAATTACATTCAGTTTGATGAATAGAAAAAATAATCAAGTTTTTTTTTTCACACAGGTGGACCACCAAGATAACGCTGCCCCTGAAAACACAGACCGAGCAAGAGAAATTGAAGAATCGCTCCTTGACATCCAGCTTTAAAGATGTCCACCCCTCCCTGCTCTTGTTTCTGAACAGGCTTAAGAGGCTGATAGTGATAAACAAGGTAAAGGTTATTATTATTATTATTATTCTTTATTATTAAACCAGCTGATGACATATAGTTTTGAATAACAGGACAGGGAAATATATGGCATGAGGACAGATGCTGAATTCACACATTTTACACCAACTTGAACATGATTATGTCCATGTCAAGTTTTTCTTACATGAAGAATATCTGCTGAAGGTAATGCAATTTTACCTGAAAGTTGGTTAAAATGCATGTGGACAAACTGGCCAAATGGGCAGCTTCATCACACAATGGCATATAATTTTTTTTTTAATTGTGTTGATTTTTCATTTCGGTTGCAGTAAAGTAAATAATTTTAATGTTTCAACAGGTGAATAAGGAAACTGAGGTGATGCACAGACGTGATCTAGGCAATGGTGTGATAGAAATCCAAACCTCCAGGAAAACTGAGAGATGGCTGCTTCATAAGAAGGTGCTGCCTGTCCCAGAAGAGGTGAATGCATTCATGCACACATGCATATGCACTCCCATACATATGCAAACAGTTGTATACGCACGCATTTGCACACATACTTGCTCACATGCAAGCAAGGAAAAGCATGAGCTAACACAGTAACCAAAAGCATAAATATATAGTAACTGGTTTTGGATATTGAAATGATAAATACTGGTATGCATTTGGATATTTAATACTTTCATTTCTATCAGAATAGGAAGATTGTCCATAGTCAGGAAATCAAACATTACTGTAACAGTAGAATTACAATAGATATTATTAAAACTTGCAGTTTCCCCCTGAATTTATACGTCAACTAAATTTAGTATGTGAATAAGTTGTTGTTAATAATTATGTACAAATGTACTATATTAGGCCACACTTTTTTTATTTTTAATGGATGACATCCTGCGCGGGCACCGAAAAAAAAAAAAAAAAAAAAAAAATCCCCCCCCCCTAAGGAGGTCGGTTGTCGCAAACGTCATTATAGAATTTGCCGGAAAATGCAATTGGCAATCCTCAGCTAATTCCGCAAGCTCCATACTGTCATTGTCGACTGCAGAGACATCCGAGTAGTTCCGAGTGCGGAAAATGAGCTTTCTGCGCATGCATATTATGGAATATATGGCCACTTTACCGTCAAATTCATTCTTAGCATTAATTTCAAAATACACGACAATTAAAGTCAAAAGGAACGGGGGCCGCAGTTTTGGATTGGTTTGCCATTGATATTGGACATGGAGATATCACCCTTTTACAATTATATGAAAGGCTGGCCGCGGCCAGCGATCATCGCCC